GCCTCCACGCGTTAAAGATTGTTTAAATCACAACCCCCGTGTACGGAATGTGGGTAACTGTTTATATAACATTACTTGTCGGTATTCTGTTACTAAGCGAACAACGGATAAGACCAGTTGTTAAAAATGTTTTGTACTATGTTCCTTTTTGTATTCGGAAATAATACATTCTAACTAAAATGTAAGTGTGCATTGATATTTTTTAAATTAATATTCTATGTTATACAGTTCGTCATAAAAATGATATGTTAAACAGCCTCCCCCTTATACCACTTTTTTCATATCATAGGCTATACCATACTACTATGTAATTAAAAATTTTGTAAAATACTTCTATGCTGTACCATTATATGACAAGTAAGCATTTTTATGTTATCATCACCTCGCGTTTTAGTTATGTTCCTACTAGCCAACATTGTAAAACTAACCTAAAATTTTTTTGTGTAATCTTAACAGCACTGAAGAGGGGTTGGGAATATAGGCCAACCCGAAATGCATATGAATTAAGAATTTTTAAATAAAACGTACGTTTTCTAACCAATTGCTGTCCGTTCGTCTACCAACTCGTTTTGGATTACAAAGACGCTACACACTGCATTAAATAAATTTTAGTTTTTAATATAGTACAGAAAAAAGTAATCTAAATTTACGAATGCATGTACTGTAAATACAGTATATACTTGTATATATTTTAATATGATTTTATGCGCTTTAAACATTTTTCTAGTGATATTATGATTTCAATATTTGAGGCGGACAGATGTAAAGTCGAATAAAATGACTTAAACTTGATTTTTATTTTTCCATATACTTTTTTGACAAACAACGTATAATTGGGAACGACGTAACTCGAAATGACATAAGTCGAGGTATACCTGTATAGTAATGTAGCCATCACCATCAGTTAAATGTTAATACTGTTGAAAATTCTTCTGGATACATTAGATATATGTCTGATTATAAGCACTGGAGTCATCAGAAGTATTTCACTAGTGATTAATTGTCAAAGTCTTTGAATATCACTTGATAGATGTGTCAGTTGTATGTATGACTATACAAATACTGTAAACATCAGAAGTATTCCACTATAGTTAAAATATACTATAGTCTTCAGATGTATCCCATTAATACATGAATGGGAACTCATTCGAACATCACTCAAGAATTGTGATTGCTCACAATCACTCGTTACACAAGTGATTGTGAGCAATCACATTTTTACTTTGTAACAACCTGAATTGTATTTATCTTTATTTTTTAAAAGTATTGTATTATTTTTAGATGTAATACCTAAGAGGAATCTCTAAAATGGTGGGAAATGCATTTATATTAGAGAGAGAATAATAATAAATGTGTCAAAAGCTAGCATAATTACTTGGTTTGTTGCAGTTCTAGACAATTGAAATTTGGAATAGATTATCTGTACTAAATTTACTTGGTTTATGAATTAAGAAAGAAGCAACAGAATAAGCATGTGTAGATTCAGAAAATAAAATTTGATGTAATACATTTATTGATTTTGGCCATTAATATTTTTTTAATATAAGTTTAACTTAACCAAAAATATTGTAAAATTCCATTTCAATTTCTGATTCAGCTGCAAAATCCGATTTCGGATGTTCAAAAGCCTTACTTGTTTATGATAAATGTAATGATACCAGATCTGATATCTGGGAAAAGTATTGATACCAGTATTGGATATGGACCAAAAGTATCAAGTAAATCGACTCTATCAAAGAAAAGTATTGATATGGTATCGGTATAAACAGTATTAGGATACTGCACTGGAACTTACTGATAATGTACTCATACCAGATACTAGGACTAGTACTTATCCACATTTGTTTTTTACACTGGTTATTGTTTGATTATTAACAGATAATGTTAATGTTAAGGAAATTGGGAAATATATAAAATTTCTACATGTTATTTCTATTTAACTTCTCCATTGTAAATAGAAATGCTATGTTATACTTATAAAATATTTGATCTTTTTATGTAAATATATATATATTTGTGTATTTAAATCATTTCAGATTTTAATTGTTCAATAAAATTAATAAGATATAAACAATATTGTAGTTTAGAAGTTTTAATTTAAAAAAAATGCTGATGATGATGATAAAATGCATAATTTTTTATTTAACAGATTGTGAATGTACAGCCACCAGTGGGACATTTGCCAAAACTTTTAACTTGTTTAGGCATGATTCCTTATGATGGAATTATTCCTACTACAGCTAAATTTTATTATATTATATTTCTTGATGGAAAAGTGATTGGATGGGTATCGGCTGAAAAAGCGTCGGATTTAGTAAATAAGTTACGTTATTTGAAAACTCTTCAAAAAGAAATGGTTTGAATTACTGTTTAATTTCTATCTTTTAACATATTTCAGGTTTTTTAGTTTACTATGAATGAATATATGTTTTCTTGTATAGGTATCAAATTGTTTGGAAATAGGTTTTGTTCCAAAAACAGCTAAATTAGCACAGTATCCTGGCATATTTCTTTTTTCTACACCTTCACGTTTTGTAAGACCTGTCCATAATTTAAGTGTCAACAGTACTGAAATGGTTGGTACATTTGAACAAGTTTATCTTGATATTTGTGTCATACCAGAAGAAGCCATTGAGGGTGTAAGTATTATATTACTTAGATTATTTTATTATTAATGTTTTTGTAAAGTTTAATGTGTGGTATATTCAAAAAGTTTGCAGAAAATATTTTTATTGACTTTACATACATTTAGACCAGTGGTTCTCAACCGGGGTCCATGTAACATTACTGAAGGTCCACAGAAAAAAAATACTAAATTGAGGTTTGCGGTGATATTTTAGTGTAGGGTAATTATACTTCAGAACAATTGTTTTACTGAGAATTAAATTTCTACAGTATATATATTATCAATTTTTTTATTACTCATTTCTTGCATAAGGGTTAAAATATAAATTATTTAAAATATTGAATACATATACAACATATATTTCATTGACAAAGGTCAACAATATATATATTTACTATTTCTTTTTAATACAATTCCCTTCTTTTTTATTAGTAAAAAGTATAAAATGTTTTTTCTATACAATGTCTATGGGGGTCCACAAAAAAATTAAGAGGAAAAGGAGTCCATGGGTAAAAAAAGGTTGAGAACCACTCAACCTTTTTTTACCCATGGTAAGGTTGCCCTCCAAGTATTCATCTTCTGCAGCAGCACATGTCATCCATCAGTCATACAGTTTTTGAAAATATCCTGAAACTCCTCATTCGCAACCATATGAAGTACAATTTTTACAGCAGTAGTCAAAATGATTACTTCTGTAAAAATTCTTCATTTATGTTGATGAATTTTCAATCCTTTGTATATATTTTCATATGGGGAAAGGTGGAAATCACATGAGGGCAAGATCCAGTGAGTATGGGGAACATAGGACTGTAATGGAATACTTACTCAGATATCTATTTAAAAGGCTAGATTGATAAGCCACTGCACATTAAACTGTATTCTGAAATATCATTTTCACCATATCATGAAATGATGAAATGTATGCATAGATACATTGCAAACTGATTTTGTTGTTAATTTTAATACCTCATGCACTATGACTCAGCATATAGTTGTCAAGTATTTAAAGGAAAAAAATCTGAGTCATTCTCACTCCATCTACACACATTACAGACATTTTCTGCAAACTTTTTGAATGTATATCATATATCAAAAGTATTTTGTAGATAACAGTATCAATGTGAACTTAATTTGAAATATCTTTTGATCATAATAGTATTGTATTAAATAGGTATCCACTAAGGTTCCTCTTTCTATAACTCTTTTCTAATAACTCCAGTTCTGGTTCCAGTGACAAATTAAAAAGTTTGGTGCACTGTTTTACCAATACATACATTTATTATTCCATTTGTTGTTACAAAATGCATTCTGGCTGTAAATAGCACTCTTCAGTTGTAACAAATAAAACAAATATGACTTACTTATGACTTAAAATTTTCCATAGAAAACATTATAATTTCAAACTTGTATTGTTTTCTCATCATTACACCAGTTCAAAACAGCTACGGAAAGAGGAACCTTAGCAGATATCTATGGTATCATGATAAAAATAATATTTACTTAGCTGCCCATAGAAAAGACTATAATTCTTTTATTATTTTAAATGTGTTTTTGTTTTACATTTAATTTAGATTACTACACATCAAGAAATTAGAGAAATTAGCATATTGAGTATCTTAGCCAATATGATACCATTTTCAGACTTCAACCAAAGTCCACGTAATATGTATCAGTGTCAGGTATTTTTAAGACTTAATTATTATAAAAAGTGTAATTAATCTGAACTAATGCTAATACACAATTAAAATTTCCATTAGATGGGTAAGCAAACCATGGGAACTCCATGTTATGCTTACAAATATAGATCTGATAATAAACTGTATAGGATTCAGACGCCACATACACCATTGGTTCGACCTACCATGTATGATCATTATCATATGGATAATTATCCCACTGGAACAAATGCAATAGTTGCTGTCATTTCATATACTGTAAGTATAAATTATTTTAATTTACAATAGGAGTTTAGTTGTATATGTAACTAAAAGTTTTCTTTTTTGAAAATTCTAATTTAATTACATTCATATATTTTTATTTTGTCTGATTATACAATATGTAAACATTTTTTAAAAGTAATTTTTATTGAATGTAAATGAGATCAACAATTAAAAACTTCTCAGAACCTGGAAAATAAGTCAATAAAAGAAGACAACCTTAAAGTTTAATAAATTCCAGCAAAACATTTAATGACTTAACAAATGTTTTCAGCATAATTCATAGGCCAAATTCAGGTCAAAAATCACAAACATTGACAATCAGATCTTGATATTTGTCATGTTGTTAAATGCTTTGCTACAATTTATTTCAGTTTGTCTTCTGCTGAGATCAACAAATTGTTTACTTAATATATTTATAGTTAATTATAATTACCATTAGATTTGCTTTAGAAAATAATTTACAATACTGAAAAGTAAAAATTGAATTTCTGGTGTTAATTTCCAAATTTATACTTTATTTTTTGGTCTTCATTCAGCTTTTAGTAGAGAAACAAATATCTTATCAATATTAAAATGCTTATTTCAGGTAGCCAAATGTTTAATTTAAAAAGAAGAAATTCTTTCATCCTACTTTAGAACAGCTTTCCAAATGAATATAATGAATATAAAAAAATAATAAATTTTTATATTCATTATATTAAACAATATTTGAATATTTTATAGTTTTTGATGAATCAAACATTTGTATTCTAGTCTGTCAATCTTAAAACTATCCCCCATTCATGCACAGCATCAAAATATAGTTTGCAATTAGTTAAATGTAAAAAGTAATATATCAAGATACTTTTGAAAAACTTAGAATCCATTCCTTATACCAAGTTAGTGCTTTATTTTATCAATCCAACATCTAATCATATCCTCCAATTTTTTGTTTTGAGTGCTCCAGCCATCTGTTGTCCAGGTTTATTGAATCTTGTGCATTAATATGACATTCAAATGTTTTCCTAATATGTAGATGAAACATTGTTCAGCAATTCTGATGGTATTAATGTCATATTAACTTCTGAGAATCACCGGATGATTCCAACTCACAGTGGACTTTTTCTTTAGGCCTCATGCATTAATACTGCACTATTAGTGGAATAGTGGCTAATTGAATTGAAAATATTCCTTGACCCAGAGATTCACAGACCTGTAAGTGGATCCTACATAGAAAAATTCATTATTTCCTTTGCTTAATGTAATCATATAAATTCTTTGTTTTTGTAACATCCTGTACCAGTTTGTCTGTTCTAACCATCTGTAAGGCAGAAGGTAACCTTCTAATTCTAATTTGGATGTTATATTTTCTTGCTATTGGTGCTATCATATCTGTTATGGTTTTTACCTGTAACAATGCAACACTTTTACTTTCCTATACTCTGTTTTAAATTTAGATTGTTTCTTATGTTTATCTGCTGGCTTAGATAGGCTTTAACTAATCCTATTATAACATTCCACAGGATGCCATGTATATGGGTACAGAAAACAAGAAATCAGGTTAATAAACTAATCTTTTGTTTTCTGTGCCGAGGGTAGGTTGAGTGAGTGACTGCTATTTGTAAATAGGACAAAAGATGCTGATAATGTATGAGATATTAAATCATTGGAGTACCAGTGAATATATGAATTAATGCTGTTTGGCTTTCTGTATACTTTGTTACAGTATTGCTTATTTGCCTCAAAGACAATAATTTTTGTGGTAATGAATGTCACTTATGTTCAATTCAGTTAAATTACTTTCTGTTCTAACCATAAAAGCCCTATAAAAAAATGAGGTCAAAAATGTTTTTACTCGTTTAAATATATTCTGCTGGATATAAAAAGGTGTGTTTTCTTTATTTTTTTAATTCATTTCCAGCTTTTTGTATGTACAGTGGTACCTCAGGTTACGAACGCCCCAGCATACGAAATTTTCAGGATACGACATGAAATTCGAACATATTTTTGCTCCACGATACGAACAAAAACTCACCATACGATGTTTCATTAGTTCGCATTTTTCATTTGTTTTTCTTACTACAGTTATCTTTTTAAATGTATTACTTGGCTTTAATTTAAGTATGTTTTTCGCGTTCAAACGAATTATTTAGTTAAGCATGTAATCGTATGGGAATAGATGATTCACCTTACGACATTTTCATGATACGATCTCAGTTTCGGAACGGATTAATTTCGTATCCTGAGGTACCACTGTACTAATTTAAATTACTTTTTTACTGTAAAAAAAACTTTAAAAAATTTAAAAATTTTTTTATGATCCTTAACAGACATTAAAAATTCCAATTATTCAGCTTAAGAAAGTTTCAAAAATAAAAGACTTTTTTGGGAAACAATAAATAGTAATTACATTTTTTTTATTTAGATTTATGCTGTAGATTCATAAATGAAATCTATAAAATAATAATTAAATTTTGTATTTGATTATATTATGTTGCTTTTCTCAATCTGTGGTCTGCAATGATGGTATGTGTGATCTGCAGGCAGACTTAAATTAATAAAGATTAAAACTTTGTTCAATGATGATTTCCTTTTAATAATTTACTTCCAATTTAATTATGTTTTCATGTGTATTCAAAACATGCATAACAAATATTTATTATGTTATAAATTGCACAATATTTCCCAAATGCTGGTAATGCCCACATAGGTTTTAAAAAAGTTATGCCTACATAACTTAGCAGTCCATAGAATTTTTTCATTTTAATGATCCTTGGGCTTAAAAAGATTGAGAAATATTGTATGTTATCTGTGGGATGGCCAAGCAGTTAAATTGCTCTGTGGAACTCAGAAACAAATCCAAATGGGTCAAATTCCAGAAATTTTTTGGGAGTGGTATGTCCCAGGTATATTTTGCCCCATCCCTCATCATCTGGCTACCCATTGTGGGATTGGCTGAATCCATGATAGACTATAAAAAAGCCTTTTTAGTGTCTACAGGATAGAAGTAAATGTATATATGTATTAATGATAATATTTGTGTAGTTGCTATGTTAAATGTTAGGTATTTATTAATGTATTTTCTAAATTGTTAACTTGTTTATATATTTTTCTTACATTAATATTTTATTACAGGGCTATGACATGGAAGATGCCATAGTTTTGAATAAATCATCATTAGAAAGAGGTTTTAAATATGGTGGTATTTACAAATCTGTTTTTGTTGATTTGAGAGATTTAGCTGGAGATAGAAGTAACCAGACTTCATATATGTTTGGAAAAAAATATTTTGTTACTGAACTTGAACATAAATTGGACATTGAACTCAAAAATAAAATTGATGAAGATGGATTGCCTTTTATTGGAACAAGACTTGATTATGAAAGTCCAATGTGCAGGTAAAAATTAATTATCTTTTTATTTTGAAAAGATGATAAATAGGACTAACTGTCATAAATATGATTATGAATTTAAAAAATTGCTTTAATATGCTTTGCAGCTCCACTATTAAAAAATATAGTACTAATGAATATATTTTAAAAATAGGATTATATTAATACTCCTCACAAGGGAAATAAAAGGGATGAATAGGAATAAAAATAATATAGGGAAAATATATGTAATATTTATTCATTTCTTGCAGTTAAATTCAAAAGTAGTATAACTTGATTGTTTAAATCATAACCAATTGTGTGTAATATATATTATATTTAAAAAATAGTAAAGGGATAATGTGAACAAAAATTGGAGATAAAAGAAAGTTCAATTTGTATAAAGCAAATATTCTCATATTAGGAATCTGAAAGTAGGTTTCATTTACTTTTTTATTTAAATATATATCATATGTGGAGATAATAAAGAGAAGTTTTGATAATATAGTATAGCTTGATCTGATATATTTACAAGGTTTTGTTTTTTGTAATAGCTGGATTTCTCATCTCTCATTGTTTATATTATCTATATTTATTTCTGTTTACTTCTTAACAGAGGAAAAATTTATTTTATATAATTATTGATTCTTTGTTATTCTTATTAAAGGATAGTAAGTTAAATGTACTACTATGTTTAATGCTGGTAGACAGTGATGATCTCATTTTTAAGTGAATATTTTTGGTGTGGTGAACATAGTCTTTATTTTTAAGGATTTGGTACATTTATACTGGAACTTAATACTAGTAAATAATAATGTACTGTACATGCTTTTTCTATAATTCAGATAATGTTTTTTTAAAAATCAGAACTAGTGTTTTTAGCCCAATTTACAGGTCATAAGATTTTATCATAAAGAAATGGAATTATAAAAATTCAAATGCCTAAATGTACTAAAATTTTTTTTAAACTGTGAGGATGACCTTTAAATTAGGCTAAATACACTAATTCTGATTTTTAAAAATATGTATGTTGGATATGGCAAAGTATGTTCTTTTTTACTTGTAAGAAGTAATGACTAAGGGTTTTATATATATCTGACCATCAATTTTTATATAAGTACCAAAGTTTTTGTCATTATTTTTTCAGTAAAGTTTCATATCTTGCTTGGCACTTTCTATTTTTTTTAGATGATTTCCATTGAGAAGAACTCTTCTATTTCTTTGAATTCAGTATCTTAATATGTATTAATAGTTACAATATTCACAAGTATCAAAGAGGATTAATACGATCAAATAACAAGTGATTGCATATCTTAAAATAATTTGTAAATGCTTAAAATTTAAGCTAAAGAGAAATAGAAAGTCTTACTTAATCATTAATGTAGCTATTGATACTACAGGGTGTCTGAAAAGTTATTGTATAGTGAAAAATTTGTAAATGATATTAAAGTTATACATAGTACATTGCATATGAGACCTGTAAATTGTATGGTTTGCATTTCCACTTTGTGTTAGAGAACTGAAAGTTATATGTCTACAGGACATACAACTTACAGTTCCAGTATAAAATGCCATACATATAACTTCAATGTCATTACAAGTTTCTCACTGCACAGTAACTTTTTGGACACACTGTATATAACTAATGATGACAATCATTTGGAATTTTATATATTATATTATCCTTCACTTGCGTATGATCTGTACTTTTAATCATCTTTCATCTTGGTCAATTGAAGTGAGAAGTAGCAGATAAAGTAGTTTGCAAGTTTTATGATTTTTGACTGACTGAGAAAATAAATTTAAGTTCACTCTGACATTTACTAAATCATAAAATTTTCATCATAACAGCTTTATTGGCCACTAACAGATGAGCCTGGTATTGCTTGAACAAAAACATTAGCAAAGATTAAGATCATTAGATTATAGCCAATCTTACCCGTTTTCACCAAGTGCAAGAATTAGGTTCCCCCTCTTCCGAGACTAATTATAAAATTTTTAGATATCTGCTTACCACACTGGGATAATGATAATTAAGATTTATAGCAATCACTAACCATTGCATAGTACCACTAAGTGATAAATAATAAACATTTTCGTAACCTTTTCTGGGCTCTTCTAGTTTACTAAATTCGAAAAATAAGTTGGATATTCTCGAATCATTCATAAACATAATGTTTGATTTTATGTTCAAATTTAAGACTAAGAGTTTGAATAAAGCAAACTTATGTGCATGCATTCCCCATGTCAACTTTATATACTACTAGCAGATCCCGCCGTGCATTGTTGTGGTTCAAAATGTATCTATTATAAATGTATAACACTTTCCCCGTGGGAGGGAAATTTTTTGAAAAATCCCTTCTTAGTGTATATTCTGTTGACATACCCTATTAAAACGCAATCAAAAATGCAAAAACCACATATAAAATAGTATAAATAGAAGCAGAGTTCTTCACAGTAAGCCTTAATCCTGTCCATCTCCCCCCCCAGTGGGGGAAATTTCGAAACGTATATTATATAAATAGACGTGTTTATTCAAATGCAACGTTGTCTCAAAATTTCAAAGGAATCTGTAGGAACAAACGAACGTTACATTTTTATTTATATAGACAGATAGAAGCTGATCTGCTTTAGTTCATCCTTACAGAAAAGCAAACTTCGTACTCGTGAAGTTAGTGCCATCTGTTGGACATAAAAGCCTTAATCCTAGATGATATCTTTTAATTTATATGAATGTTTAATGGAATAATATACAGCCTATGTCCACCCTGAAGTTCCATTCTAAAAAATTGGTGAAAGAATTTTTGAAATCGGATGAGTTGTTTTGGAAATTACTTCCTACATCCAAACTTATAAACATTACCTCTTTATAATATTAGTATAGATAAGTTCGGACATGTGCACTGTGTATCTTGCTGACCATGCGACTGCACTGTGCTCAACCCCAGTTCAAGTTTGGGGCTTCGTATATGTGATGTTGATGTGGCTGGGAGCAGCAGTTTGGTGCCAGCCTGTGAAACTCGCTGGTCTCGGATAATGCGCACACATCAGTGGCCCTTGTTCACCAAGTCGCCATCATCTTTGCATGGACTTGGTGGCAACCTGGCGGGACCCAGCCTCAAGTACAGGGAATACGGCTGCCGATGGTGACTTAGCGCAGTTACCTATCTCGTATACATACGCGTCTTGCCCCTCATCACCCGCTGACACCAAAAATATAATGCTTACCTAAATGATATCTTTTAATTTATATGAATGTTTAATGGAATAATATACAGTCTATGTCGACCCTGAAGGTCCATTCTAAATATTGGTGAAAGAATTTTTGAAATCAGATGAGTAGTTTTGGAGATTATGTCCTACATTGAAAGTTACAAACTTTACCTCTTTATAATAGTATAGATTGACTAAAAATCAACAGTAAATTTAAAAAATAAATAAATTACTTGCTAAAGTCATTATATAACCTTTGAAATTTTTTAATTTGATAAAGTCAGTTAATTTCAAAAATTTTATTCAGCAAGGATTTTTGTGCAGGGAATTACATTTTCAATTACTTGTAAATTTTAATTATCTAAATATTACATTTATAGTTTTTGTAAGTGTAATATCAATTCACTCAATTTAGAATGATATAAATATAAAACTAGTTAATTTAAAAATAATAACCTTAAAATACTTTCAATTAAAATTACTTTTATCATTTATTTTGTAGCTATATTGATCTCTCAAGTAATGAAGTACGTGTGATAAAATATAAGTCTACTGAATCTGCTTATGTATTTGATGTGAAAGTTATAGGCAGTGAAAATGGAGTTGATATCTTACAAAAGATTTGTATTACTCTATGGATTCCAGTGAGTATTTAAGTTAAAAATTTAATAATGTTGTTTTTTAAAATTTAGTAATTATGAGATATACAAAATTTAATAAAAGCTTCTCGCTTCATTCTTTGACATTAGTACAATTTATTAGATAAACTATTGTTTTCTCTTGTATGCTTGTATTTTTTGCTTAATTTTCTTCTTCCTTGCTGTTATAGATTTTAATTTAAATTAGATTAAAAATAAAATTTGCAACATTCAACATTCTAAACATTCATCACTTATTGAATACTTAAAAGTTTTATAAATAAAATAAATTATGATATTAATAAATAAAAAATAAATAACAATCACTATTATATTGAATTTATAGCTGTATTTATATTGTATTTTCCATGTTTCAGTTCTATTTTTATTATTGTGTCTTAATACAGTGAATCCTTTACAGCTACAAGTATTAATATCTGATAGAACAAATTTTCTCTCTGTCCATTTCAGGTGTTTGACAGATTTGACTAATGTTCAAGGAAACTCTGCTCAAAATCTCATTAAAAACTTTAATATAAAAATACAGACATCCACCTACTTAACATTTTCCTGATAGGTTGATTTTTTACTTTTAATACCCAAGCTTCATAGAACATATTTCTCAATACAATGTTTTTTGGTTGCTGTTTATATAATAAAAATGTACGTTTATATCCAAAAAATTCTTTACATCTTTAATGAAACAATATACAGGAAAAGTTTTAAGTTTTTAACCAATTATATTTTGAATACATGTTATAATCATGTGTAGACACTTTTAAAAGTGCTTTGAGTGTCAAAAAATGGGTATCTCTAATTTAGCTGGTGATGGAAGAAACATTAGTGTCATATTGTACAAATACCTTCAATAGCAGAAAGCCTAAACATGCTTTTGTGATGCTACAGTAAATTCCCCAATTTACAGAAGTGTCAGAGATGTTGTTTCAAATTTTCTGTGATTTATCACTTATTTTTATTGTAAATTTTGTCTACATTTTTTAAAACAAATTCTGTATTGCTATGTATTATTTGTCATGCAATTTCTTTTATGAATGAAATGTTTGCAGTATGGCATGCATATTGTACTGTACAGATTATTGCTGTTGCATACAAAGCAACTTTTTGTTAACGACTATATTAACTATTTGATGATCAGAAATTAATATAGGTGGTAAAATACAAAATACTTAATACAATAGTTTGTAATAAATATATATAGATGCTGTATTGTGTTTTTGTTACATTTTCAAGAGTTAATCAGGAGTTTTGGGTTGGCATAACACATTATAATTTTTTTCTACACAAAATGATGGAAATAGGCTCCTGCTAATCTTTTCTTGCAGAATGCCTGATTTTCATGAATTGATTAATGATGTTAAGTGGGATGTCTGCATTGTTATGATTTATCAAAACCTCATTTATTTTGAAGGTGTTATGTGAAATAAAATTGCAAAAAATGTAAATCTTAAATACACAAATGAGATTGTCTTCTGTCTATCATATATATTTCTCAGATTTTTGTTTACATTTAATGAAGACTTAATATCTTCAGAAATTTCACTTTACAAAAATATGGCAAAGTGAGTGAGACAGAAATAAGAAAAAGTTATGCAAAGAATGAAAGTAGGAGATTGCTTTGCTATTTCAAAAGTGATAGACAACTTAAAGGAGGGATGAAACAATCTTTAGAAAGGAAATATGAACTGAGATGTAATGTTTCTTTATATTTTAATGAATTTGATATTAAATATAACATATCAAAATAACATTTTACATTTTATAAATAGGTATGTTAATTAAATATTGTAATGTTCTAGAAATGAATTTTCTAGATAATTTTAAAAATCTCCCTTTCAAATATCAGATGATGATCTATGAATTAATAATTTAATTAATGGAAAAAGTAATCATTTGTAATTTATTTTCAAAAATAAATATTAAATATAGTTTTTATAGTTATAGGTTGTAATAATAATAAAAATTAAATATTAAATTGATAAATTTATAATTAATATGAATATAATTAACTTTCCATTTTTTTTTTAAGAGACCACCTATTATAGGAGATAAATTTGCTAGTAGGCATGGTCAGAAAGGTGTTTGTAGTCAAAAATGGCCAATTGAAAACATGCCATTTACAGAAAGTGGTATGGTTCCAGATATTATTTTTAATCCACATGGATTTCCTTCTCGAATGACAATTGGTAATGAAAAATTAAATAAAATATTTTATGAAAAAATATAAATTATTATTATATAAGTAATATTGAAAAACTTACAATTTAGGGATGATGATTGAAAGTATGGCTGGAAAATCTGCTTCTCTTCATGGAATTGTTCATGATGCAACAGCTTTTAAATTTTCTGAATCTTATCCTGCCTCTGAATATTTTGGAGAACTACTCCAAAAAGGTAATAAAATTTAATTTTCTAAGTATATTGATATAATTGATATTATTAAAGTTTTGACTTTAGATATCAATACATTGTGTATCTCTAAATGTATAATTGAATGTCATATTCATTTTGATTATGACATTCAATTTATATATTTTTTCAATGACATTTATTAATATTGTGATTGTAGTGAATATGAAAAGATGCAAACAGACTGCTAATTAAGGCAACTGAATGGAAAGATATATAATCTAAAAATGTTTCTTTATTAATAAAACAGTAATCACCTATTTTGATTTGATTAAACAAATTGAATATCAAAACAATAGAATTTAAAATTTAGAATAAAACCATTTAACATATATTTCTATAGTGACCAGTTGTGGCTCATAGCTCTTCTAGACCCTTACTGTAGCTTCTGTACACTTAAATAATTTTTGTGTTTCTTAAATCATGTAATTTGATAAAATAAGGGTTTATCATACAGGAATGTATTTTACAGAGATGAACAAATTAAGTTTTTCAAATTGTCATTATGCAGAATGCATTTTGGGTCCAGACCCCTCTTCCGCTGCAGACTATTTTATATGATGACACTGGTTCTGAGCAAAGTCAAAATGGAAAATACAATATTTTTAAATATTTGTTCATTCTGCATTATTTGTGAACAAATATTTTCTTCTTTTCTTCATCAGGCACTGAAGATGTTCATAGAGAAAAACTACTGGGTCTAGAAAGCTCAAATTTTAAACCTAAGCCTTTCTCATTATCAGTGAGGTACTTGCAAAACTTCCAGGTCAATAGGTCAAAGTTTACAGAGGTCCTCCATAGAGCTATTTTACTTTCATTGCTTAATTTCCTGCTTATAAGAATAAAATCGTATTGAAACAGTGATTTTCATTCAGGATGTTATCCAGAATAACAAAAGCTCAAATTTCTGCAAATTAAAACTTTATAATGATTTTACTAACAGCATATTGAAAGCATTTGGTCAGCAGCTGTCATGTCACTGAGTGCTGACTGAACTGTACAGTACAGGTCTTAGGTCTACATGTAATAAAACTATCATCAATCAAAAAACAATTGATATTCAAACAAAAACTCAGAGATGTAAAAAAATTGTGCCAAGTAAAAAATTATGACAATTTAGATGACATTCAAATTTTTTCTTAGGAGTTTTTCTTTGATAAAGACAAACTTGGCATTTCGAAGCAGTGTCCACAATATTTTTACCTGTATTAATGTTTTTTTACATTTCACTTCAAAGTTGCAAGCTTATTCTTATCAAAGAACAACTCATAAAAAAATTTGACTGACATCTAAATTGTCATAACTTTTTTTTGGTGCAAATTTTTTACATCTTGGATGTTTTTGTTTGGATAAATAAATTTTCTAAAATTAAAAAATAAATATTTAAGACATTTATATTTTAGCAATTTATTTTTTAATATTCTAATACTACTATTTGCAGATTAATCAAAACTGGATATTTTACTCTTATAAAAGGAAGAGAAATGATGTAAACCCAGTAGTTCCTTCTATACTTGCTGCACATGGTAACCATCTAACTGATAAGTTAGATTTACCATCACCACATCTTATTACATTTGTTTTTTTAAAATAAAATTTATTTAAATCACTAATTAATTAATTAATTTAATAATTTTGACTTTAAATATAGACAAACAAAATATTTTTCTAACTATTTAATAACTTAGATAAGATTCAAATTTTTCATAAATTCTCTGGTGTACTTATGTCATTGACATATTTTTAACTAAGTGAATAAGTTATTTCATCAGTGTAATTAATATCAGTACTATATTCAAAAAATCAGCAGTTTGATGTTTATTATTCTCAGAAAACAAAGCAATGTACAAGCCAAACAACACTGAATTACATTGGGTTACTTTTCTGCAATTATATTTAATTAATTACTAAATAATTTGTCACTAGAGGGGGGCATTAGGTGCCATCTCTTCATTAAATTTAATAATTATAATTAAATTAATACTTATTAAATAATTTAAAATATTCTGGAAGAAAAGAAAAATCCATAGCAGGACTCAAATTATAAAGTCTTGCTTACCTTGCAGATGTGTTGCCAGTTATGCCACCTAAGCTTCCAGTCTGATCTCCTCTTCCAGACATATTTAAGTATGATACAGTCATCTTCAGTTACTTACAGTGCTGACTGGGGATGCCTTTAGCACCCTTGTCTTATAAACTGTTATTCATGGTACTCAGCCAGCCATCTCTCAATTCCAGTATGATATATATACGTAAACAAACATCATAAAAGGTTTCATGATGTTTGTTTATGTAAAGCAATATACTAATAAATTTTATTATATTGAATGAAATTGTAAGCATGAACTTATCTACAAATAAAGTAATGTGTTATAGAACATTGGAATAAATTTGTAAAAAAACTTTAAAATCCTTTTCGATTTTTTCACGAAGCACTCAAGGCAATTTTGCAGAACATGGGTTGAGAACCATTGGATTAAAGAAACAACATGATGTTAATATATATCTATATTTTGTTAAAGAATATGATAGAAATAAAGTCATTTATTAAATTGTTAAATTTTCAATTAATAATAAAAACTTGATTATATAATTTAATTTGGTACTAAAAATATTTTAAAAGAACTGTTTTTAAGATATAAAGAAATTACAAAAAAAAATTTTTTTTTTTGAATAATTTCATCATCATAAATATTCCTTTGCTCTTAATGCAGAAATATTTTCTTTAATTTTAATTCTAGTTGATTCTTTCAATTTATGCACTTCATTAAAAACAACATGTAACATTTTAACAAATGACTTGCAAACTTTATTTATATTGATAATTCTGTTTATTATTATTATTATTATTTTTTTCATATTTTTTGGTAAATTTAACTTAAATATGTAACAAACAACTTCAGTAAAAAATGAATGAGTTTTATTACTTTTAAAAATTTTAGAACTATATATGCCAGTATACAATACTATATAGGCCCTTCGATGAGTTTATTATTGTGATTTTAGAGTCACCAAAAAAAAAAAAAAAAGGAAGAAAGTGTCTGAATATCAATAGGTAACTTATAGGTGTATGATGAAGTGTAATAATTAAAATAATCCTTTCTTGATTTAAGTGTTATCTGAATGTTTTTGTCACCTATGAAGTCAGAATAGGCTGAGAGTTTTTCTCATATTTTATACATATTAAATTAAAGTAATATCTAACCTCATTGAATAGTTTTTTTAAACTTTTGTCAGAATATGTTCTTACTTGACAGCAAGATTATTGATGCAACTAAAGTGTTGACCTACCAGTTTTGTGATTTGGGATCAAATCTGGATGGGTGAAAACCCCAAGAGTTTTACATGGCCCAAAAAAATTTTTCATGGTGGTCTGTTGAGGACGTCATACCTCATTATTCATCACATGGCCATTCTGTTGTGGGCATGGGCCAAATGTTCAATGAATATGGGAAAAAAAGGCCCTCTTAGTATCCAGAGTGGAAAGAGTCAAAAAAAGAAAAAAAAAAAACAAAGTGGTTTTTACTGCATTAGCATTTGTATATGTGTAAAAGAAATTAAATATTATCAATTAATACTAATCATTTTTAATTTTAAAATTTCACTGGATGATAAACTTTTCTTTAAAAATAAAAAGACGTAGTCGTTTTCAAAAACTTGGGTGATGATCATTTATTTCTTTTAAATGTTCCATAGTAAAAACTTCAGACAACCCGACCTTTCTTTTTAGGCTACACGGCCGTCCTGGAAAAAGTTCCTTAAAAAACAGAAATAAACCAATTAAAAAGTAATAATTTTTTTCTTAAAATTGGAATTGATGACCTTATGACGTCTTGCTTTATTCATTCTTCTCCATTTGGGAGTTTTGGATCCTTATATCTGCTGGAAATTTGCGCTGTTTAATGTAGATTAGCAAAATTTTAAAATTAAAAAATTTTGTAATAATTTGCCAGTAGAGGGAGGAAAGAGGATAATCTAGCAGGGGTGGGCAAGCAAGAGTTCAGTGGGAGCCGAAATGTAGGTTTTGCAAAATGCATGGGAGCTGCAGTTCTGTACCATGATTTTATTATATAATATAAAACAAATATTGAATGCTTTTAATAAACATATTTTCATAAAATTGTGGAAATAAAATTGTAAAAATAATAATAAAAAGCAGAAATTAACACTTTCAGCAAGAGC